ATAGTTCACGAGCATTGGGAACAGAATACACAATATACGACATTAGGTGTAAAGTTGTGAGCAATGAATACAAACATCTCTCAAATTCAGTGAAAGATGAACTCAAATGACACATGAATAAACATTAACTACAGATAACCGATCTGACTGAGACATTAGTACAAAATAAAAAAGTCTGGTATACACCAAGTACCATCTTAGATGTAACATTTGACGGGGGAACGCAGTTAACAAATAGTTGCCCTCAAGATTTACAACATCCTATTCCACATATACCGAATCTAACTGGTTAGTGTTGGTGACCCAATGGGTCAGAAGTTCGAATCTCGCTCCACCTACCGAGACTTAAACAGCCAGCTGGTATCATTAGCCGTGACTAATTGTCTACTTCACTAGTTTGCACAAGGTTGCTGAGTGGATTTCAATTTAGTACTGCTTATCCACATAGTTTCTACCCCCCCCCCTGCATTTAAAAATCTACTCAATGTTGAAACAAATAAACATCAGTCAATCACATTTTCACTACTGAATATAATGTAATGTAAATTTTCATAGGATACTGGTTTCAGTCTACTCCTTTAGGGGTTGAGCTGAAGATAGTGAGTAGGAGGTCGTAGAAAAGTCTGCCACTATTGACCGCAACGTAGAGTGTATATTTTTATCTTCAATGCAGTATTATCCATGATCTTATAAAGTAGAAACATTCTTTAGTCTAAATTGTTAAACGGTCGACCGATGGTGTGATTCAGTAGGTGCTAAGGGAAAAATATTACAAAAGATTAACACTACAAAGGTATCATTGTAGATGCATTGATGATGGCTAGAAGTTGCTACCCTGAAACCTCAAATTTTATAGAGAAACCTAATGCAATCACTGAGTACTGGCAGGCAACTAACAAACAAGGTAACCTCTTTGGCTGATAACTGTGATCACTGGCTCGTAATATCTTATTGTAAAAAGGCAAACTCAACAACTTGTTCTAGTATCTAAGAGTGTTTCGAAACTATTAAGTGCAATACGATAGTCATAAACAACGACCACTCTGCGCTTATTTCTAGCTAAACAACAGAAAGCTGAATTGTTCGGTTTCATTCAGAAACAGCTATGGTAGGTTAGTGACAGACGAAATCTTGATGTTAACATCGTATATTTGAGTGGCAATTACTAAGATGTTTAACTTGCATCACATTCCACTCGAGAGTGGTAAGTATAATGAAGTAAAAAGACGTGAAGTTAGATACACACTGATACCACATGACCATGTGAATTTCATCATCAAACTTATGAATGTTATCTGTATCTTACAAAAGTATCAAGTGCGTAATGCATAGGCGACAGACAAGGTGAGAAAATTCATATCGATCTACAATTCCCTCTAGCCTCCAACTAAACAATGCAAGAACATTTACAGTGGCATAAAATGAGCTCATTTTATTTTAGTAGTAGTATTCATCATGGACTGACATTAGTTGGAGAACCATTGAAAGTCTGGGAGCACTGGACGACTGTTTCATCCCAGTATGGGACTCCTCAGCAGTACGCACCCACGACCCGACTGCGGACCGAACTCACAACCTTCAGGTTTCACGGCGAACACGCTAACCATTCAGCCACTGAGTCGGTTTCCAGTGGTTTACAATTTCCAACTTCTATCAATTCACGACATAATGCGACCAACACCCAAGGTCTTCAGTTAGCATCCACTTCACTTCCGACCGGTTGACCCCACAGGTCACGGCTTCTCATTAGAGCTTCGTGATATCCATCTGGAAGCGAGTCACTAATGAGCACTATACAGTAATGTATTTTTGAGATGAATGGGGATTTTTTAAATTTAGAAGTAGTATTCATCATGGACTGACATCAGTTTATCTCACGGCCTATCATCAGCTGCAAATTGCCTATGAGTGAAATGAAGTACAAGTAGTAATAATGCCATAACAACATACTTTAAATGTGTAGACACAAATGGAGATTTAACATCCAGCATTAACAATAAGGTAGTGAGTCAATGTAACACAGGATTAATAATTACAATTCTAAGTTAAAATCAATGGTAATGAAGAGAGAGGAAATTGTGGAGCTGTAGTGTGGTGGTGGTGGTGAAGGGGGGAACAAACGAAGATTAGTGTGAAAGAAAGGACCGTTTAAGAGCTAGTAGGTTCCGAAATGACATGAAAAATTGGAAAATCGTTAAATGATTAACAGTCAGTAAGTGATTCATCAACTCCAAGAGACAGAACTTCACAAATTCACAAACTGAAGCACGTTTCACAAATCATTGTATTTTCAACGTTTGTTGTAAGAAAAGTCGAATTATCCCTAAATATCTTCGTCTACGTATTTCAATATCTACTGACGAAATCAAAACAGCAATAGAACATTTTCGCAGACTTCACCACAAAGAAGAAATTCACAGGATTATCAGAAAGTTAAATACCATCCGGAATAAAATTGAACAAGTAGAATGAAAATTTATGGAAACAGTTAACAGCAGAGACTATGAATTCCTTATAGAAACATCAGCTGCTTTCAAGAAATCCAGAAACAGTCAGATCAAAAGTTCAACAAATTGATACAGGAAAAATATCCCTCGGAAAATAATGAGACTAGAAATGAAACATCATCAAACATCTATCGAACAAAGTGGGTAGTCAATTTCTCCTCGAGAACCTTAAGCTCACCTGAGATGAAAGTACTTGACAAAGGACTAGACTTCAACATGACAATAGGTCATCTAAAACCCGAAGATGTCATATCTACCACTCGTCAGATATGGCAACTGCTGAACAGGTTAGAGCAAAGTGTGCTTTAGCACTGAAAAAACAAAAGAAGAAACAGTGGAACTTGACGAAATCAGAAAATTCAGCTTTAAGTAATCTACTAAATGACAATAACATAGTAATTGTTAGATCTGATAAAGGTAGTTCAGCAGTAGTTATAGACAGATCGGATTACTTCAATAAAACTGATGAACATATCCAAACAGGACCTATGAAGATATCAAGAAATCTGTAGACACTGTCATGAACAAAATAAAGAAATCTACAACAGATCTAGGTTCATCAACCAGGTTATCCCATCAGGCCCATAGTTGATTTCAGAAACAATTCAACATATGAACTAGCAAAGTACTTAGCATCGATATTGAGTCCTACAAGAAACCGTTCAAATTCCAGACTAGTAAACTCTTATGGGTTAAAACTAAGGCTTAATGACCTATATATAGAAGAGGATGAAAAAATGGTTAGTTTCTATGCAACAAGTCTGTATACTAAAATACCAACCAATATGCCACTGGAGGCAGTCAGAAATCAACTAAATATTGACTCAGAACTTATTCACCGAACTAAGTTGTTCATCCTCAGTCAGTTTACGACATAGCGTGACCATCACTCAATCTCATCGTTGAGTATTTGTCCTCACGGCAACCAGGTTCGCCCCACTGGTCACAACTTCTGATTCCTGAAGTTCCAATGAGAAGTCGTGACCAGTGGGGCGAACCTGGTGGCCATGAGGACAAATACTCAACGATGACATTAGGTGATGGTCGCGCTATATCGTAAACTGACAGAAGTTGGAAATGTGGACTACTGGATTCCGACTCAGTGACTCAATGGTAACGTGCTGGCTATGGAACCTAAAGGTCCTGGGTTCAATCGGTGGTGGGGTGGGGTCATGGGTGCGCACTGCTGAGGAGTCCCGCACTAGGACAAAACAGGTGTTCAGTGTTCCCAGGTTTCCAATGTTCTTCCAACCGATGTCAGTCCATGATGAATACCAACTTGAAATCAGTAAATAGCCATAAACCCCCAAATTCAAATAATACCGTATTACTGCGCGCTACATATCAAATAAACAAATCCAATATGAAATTACATTCTACCACAGTGCCCAAGTTTTACAATCCTTTTAATAAGACAGAGCTTGAGTTTCTATCTTATTTAGTGTGATATTAGAGAGGTTGTATATATACTTTTTTGGATTTTCATGAAATTCTTCATTAAATTTCTCTGTCACTAGGGTTTTTCTGAGTTTATTCTCAAAGCTTGTGGATCTCTTCAACTGATTTTCGTTTGTTGTCTCCCCATCATCACCACCACTACACCACAGCTCCACAATTTCCTTTCTCTTCATTACCATTGATTTTAACTTAGAATTGTAATTATTAATCCTGTGTTACATTGACTCACTACCTTATTGTTAATGCTGGATGTTAAATCTCCATTTGTGTCTACACATTTAAAGTATGTTGTTATGGCATTATTACTACATGTACTTCATTTCACTTATAGGCAATTTGCAGCTGATGATAGGCTGTGAGATAAAATGAGTTCATTTTATGCTGCTGCAAATGTCTTTGTTCTTGCTTTGCATAAATTTGTCAAGGGGACTGAATATATGACATTCCAATCAAACAAGCAGATAAATCAATTTACTTCCACAAGTATCAGGTATGTACTTTCAGGGCTAGACTGAAAGTGAGAAAATTTATATCGATGCTCTCTAGTGTTCAATCATACAAGAGGACTAATCAATATAGAACACAACAGCAAGTGCCATTAAGGTAGACGAAAGCGTTTCAAGGGAGCATAAAAGAAATTAATAAAGTTCAGTGGAGATGCTAAGAAATCTCGAATAGCGCATACATCTGTATCAGTGTGATCGAGGTATACCACCAAGAATCTCATGCCACCAGTTCCTATGATCTTGAAAACTCTAAACATGATGTCTGCACGGTTCAGTTAGACAGTCAGAGACTTCTTAGATTGCTACGATTTTTTAAAGGATACTTTTAGGTCTCTTCTAACCTAGTCTTACTTCGGCTAAGATTACACACCAAGATATACGTACCCCAGCATTCGAAACAGATGTACAATTCAGTGAAGGCATTATTTAGTCTCCATTGGAATAAAGAAGTAGTCGGTAAAAAAATCTTTCACTTCACATAACTTCTAACCTATACAATTATATAACTGTATAAAGTAGTTTAACTTACTCTGTCTTTGACCAGGAGTGTCATCAGATGACTGGATAACAACATTTACTTCTGAAGAAGCATATGTATCAGCTGATGGAGCAGATAAAGCTTTGAAAGAATTAAGTTATAGAAAAGTGTTTAGTTGAGCGAAAACAATATTTATTTATACTTTCCCTGTGTAACATATGACTAAGAAAACAGAATAATCTTACCATATATACAATTGTGAACTTTAGAACAGATTATAAATATCACTTATACTCATGAAAAAAGCCAATCAGCAAAATATTTGAAGTGGAGATCAATACTATACTCTCAGGATTATATAATTCCTTCTGACGTAGCTTAATTCCCTCAGTGACATATTAAAACAAACAATGAGCAATATATATACTCTAACAAAAGTACTATAATCATTTGTCTCAATTACCTTGATTATGATTGGTTGTTCTAGTGTACGTGTTCTAGTGATTGATTACGCTCATAAATCTATTAACCGTTCCCATAGTTAGACGGTTTTATGTGTTATATATTCTTCATTTGATTGGTTGGCGGATATAGTTTATGTCGATTTACCTTCTGATTGGTAATCGATATGAATGTGAATACTTATAACTAGAGATTTACAACACTCTCTCCAAGTGTTCAATGAGTGTTGATAAGGAGAATGATGCACTGTCATATTGATAGATCAGTAGGTGTAGACAGAAGGTAGTCACTTCATTCAACATCGTAAGGTGTACAAACTGTATTGTCAGCAAAGTATGCAGGTTAACAGTTTCAGTAAGCTTCTTAAGGACGTTAACTTTAAGAGGCTATTGTTGTCCAGTGTGAACTAGTTTCAATGTATTTTTAATTCAGACCAAGAAGGTAAGTTTATGTGCTAATGAAGCTTGACGTATGCCATCATCATTGTGAACAAATGAATTCATGTCTGAATTACTGATAAATGAGTTATAACCATGGTTGCTACGATACACAGCCTGTGTTTCCTTCACCCCGATACTATTTCTTTTTTAATATATCCCTATATTTTGCATCTAAAGATTAATTCTGTTGAAACTTTACAGTAATGCTTTATAGCAAGGTACTATTCATCATGGACTGACAAAATATGGAGAAAAACTGGAAATGTGAGAGGATTAGACACCTCTTGCAGTATGAAACTCCTAAGCAGTGCTCACTCACAACCCCATCTCGGATAGAACTCAGGACACTCAGATTAAGTAGTCAGCATATCACCATTCAGCCACTGGTTCACATTTTCTTACTCTCATCAGTTTGTGATATAGAGCAGTCATCATTCAGTTCCATCGACGAGTATTCGTTCTAACAAACGATTTAGTAAACTTCATAGCTTATAAGCTTCTCATTAGAACTCCCGAGCAGTATGTCACTGATGAACACGGAAAGTAATTCAATTGAAAATTTTAAGCGATTGATTAGTTCCAGTGTAGTTGAAAGCAATCAATCGCCACAAACCACCAAGTAAATATTATACTTGCTCAATAACTCACCTTTCTCGACTAGTATAGTGAGTATATTTCCTATACACTTTTTACCAACAGTGTTTAGGGCAGAATTCATTTGGTTTATATCCTGCGAGTTTTAGGATACGTTACGCATATTTTTCTCAACAACCTGTTACCAAGATAGCCGCCTATATCAACATCCTCCCTATTTACGCACAGTTAACAATTATCTAATTTTCCAGTTTAGAACATCCCCTTTCCCACCACTTTTACTCGACGTTGTACAACGTTATTTATTACCGTTAAAAATAAAACGCTAAAATAAGCCTACGTAACTCTGACTTCAAAAGGATTAGACAACGCCATGGAAGCAATCTGGCTGACTTGTAGCATGCAGAATATATCAACCCACTACAGTAACAAAATTCGCTCAGAGTCTTCTGAACGCGTTGAGCAGAAATCTCAGTATGTTCGGCATGAATCATGCACCTATCACACGTAGGATGATGTTCCAGGACTGGTCTGCTGCAAGTACTACCAATTTAATGGTAGGAGTGAAGTGGTTGAATGCGTCGACCACTTCACTTACCTGAACAGTTGCACTAGCTCGAGTAGGCTGGTTGCTGACAAAATCTCAACTCGCATAAGAAAGGCCCGTTCGGCATTTACCAATTTGTATCACCAGTAGCACTGACTGACGAGATATCCGACTATCTATCAAACGACGAGTATACCGCTCTGCAGTTCGTTCTGTCCTGTTGTACGGCTGTGAAACGTGGCCATTGGAATTAGAATACATGAGGTGGTGGTTACAGGGTTTTCATCACAGATATCCTTGAAGCATTGCTCACGTTTGGTAGAATCACCGTGTGAACAATGTTCAGTTCAGGCGAAGGGTATAAGGCCTGACAGGCAAGTCAATTCATGAAGTTTTGAATCTTAGTCGGCTGAGATAGCTTAGACATGTACTATGCATGTCGAACCACCGCCTACCTCGACATTTCATGCATGCTAGTAGAAGTTAGATAAGGTTGGAAACAGGTTCAGGGAGGGCAGACCAAAACGTGGCACCAGTCGATGAAGTCCGTGATTCTTGGTCTGACTTGTGTGTGGAGATGTAGAATGTCTGTCTGGGGTCCCCGAGACTGTGAAACGCGTTCAGAAGACTTCGAGCGAATTTCGTCACTGTAGTGGGTTGATATATTCTGCATGCTACAAGTCAGCCAGAATCCCTCCAGGAAGCAGATGAATGTGTGTAAAGACAGTCAGAATTACCTATGGTTATATCCATTAACACATCTATAATGAAGGTTAATATGAACGGTTACAGTGGGTATCGCTGATGAACATCACTAGCTGTCGTCAGTTCGCTTGGAATCTCTGCATTAGTCATTAAACAGATGTAGAGACTTTACTAAGTATTGTATAATTGTACGGTACTCCTCTCACAGTCATACACTGCCGAAACACTTCCCGGTCAACAGTTAAATGCCCCCTTCAGGTCGAGAAATGTGGCAAGTGACAGCTGTCGGTAAGTATGCCAGTGTTATAGAATCTTTCATGAGATGAAAATATGGTTGATGCACTCTCGACCAGGTCTGAAACCCGTCTGGTTTTCTAGAGTTCACCGTTCTTCAGTTACAGCAGTCGGAAAGCCATGGTCCCAAGCATCTGGGACATGATATTAGTCAATCTAATTGCCCTGTTTTTCAAAGGAATGTTTCTCTCCTTTCTTATATATTAGGATTATCAGTAAAGTATAGCACTCTGACAGCACTACCTTTGATACCGATACACTACTTGGTAGCTGTGTCAGTCTAATCACCAATTTCTGCCTGTATTTTTAAAGACTTTGGATGGCAAGCATCCAGGTCCAGTTACTTTCCATTGTCAGGTCCGATACAGCCTTTTCAACTTCAAGGAGAGTTGGAGGGCTGACGTCTACCTTCCATTCAGTCTCAGGCTGGATGTTGAGCAACTGAAGCGTTGCTGAGGGCCAGTTGGACTGTGCTTGAAAGTGTTCTGCCCAAGATTCTGACCGCCTGTCCTGGAAGGCTATCAACTTTCTAGCGTTTTCGGTGATGGCTTCACTAACCATCCTTTTTTTTCTTGCAAGTATCCTTGATAATCCTATATAGCTGCTAAAATTTTGCTTAGTGCTATCAAGTAATAGAATAAAGGATACTTTAAAATAGTTGTATCGTGACAGTCTGTTAAACATAGGTATTACTTTGCATTGTGTAACAAGAAGGCGGAAGTTATCAGAGAGATGTGATGTATTTGCGCAATACATTTCGAATGATCTGATCACATACATACTTGTCAAGGAATTTCATATAAAGGTTGGGACTAGACAAACAAACTAAGATAATACACGATTTGGAAAATATAAGGATAATAAGGAGGAACAATACATTTATATACCTGCCTTGGTATTGAAATGATATAAAGGAGAATAAGGGTAGGGACAACTTGTTTTGAATACATAAAAGGGGGTTGAACTTTCTGCCGACTAAGGCTTCAATGAACTTAAATATATGGTTTTGACGACTCTTGAATAATGGTATAAAGGGGTTTTTGGGGTCAACCTATGAAATATTTTTCTACAATATGTTCATTTATAGTCGATGGTGTCTGTCTTCCCTTGTATTTATTGGACTATTTGAATGTAGTTGTCTTTCCGGTCACTTAGGGGTATGTCCAAAATGTATTGCGCAAATACATCACAACCTCTGTTTTCCCATTACATTATGCAAATTCATCAAAGGGATCAGGTGTTTCAACTACATACTGCTGTTTATATTTTGTAAATATTTCACTTTCTTGGCCTTTCAAATAGGCTTGAGGGAAAGATTACTTGCTTTACATATATAGGCGTTTTTTATTTTACCATTGATAGTGAAAAAAGATGATAGAGAGGAAAGAACGTTGAGAACTCACCCGATTGTAACTGTGATTTACTCGTTAGGAATAAATCTGATGTAGAGTTGGTTAAATCATTCACCTTAGAAGATAGATATGAAGATGATTCACATTCATCACCCTATAGATAAAAGACAAGTAAATAGATTACGTTTGTGAGGTGATTAAATTTATCTGTGAATAATGAAATGCAGTGCAATGAATGATTCAAAATCATTTCCATTAGTGACATGCTTCTAGATGGATATCTCGAAGTTCTAACGAGAAGCTATGAGGTGTGGGGTTAGCCAGTCGGAAGGAAAGCAGATGTCAACTGAAGACGTTGACTAATAGTTGCGCTATATAGCGAACTGACAGAAGTTGGAAACTGTAAATCACTAAACTTCAACCCAGTGGCTGATTCCTAGCCAGGTCGAGGGTGCGTACTGCTGAGGAGTCCCATACTAGAATGAAACAGCTATCCAGTGCTTCCAGGTTCTCAATGGTTCCTCAACTGATGTCAGTCCACGACGAATACTACCTCAAAATAGTGATTGCTCCCTATTCTACAAGTATACCTCCTTATGCTTTAATGAGCTGCAGATATCTTACAAAATAAACCTAATGCAGCCTCTAAAGAACTGAAATGAGCCAAAAAGACCCAGCTATGTAGCTAGTATAATGATCAACGAACAGTGAAGGATCATTCATTCTCAAAACAACCAGATGAAACTTTCAATGATGGAGGTAAATTAGCTATCCTATAAACAATAGAGTAGTTAAGTTGATGGAATAGAGAACCGAAAGTGACTGATTAGAATCTTGTTGTGATCCATATTTTCGATTTAACTTCAATCATCATATTCATTCATTGAGAAATCTGTCAGCTAGTACTATCTCAAGTACTAGATACAAATACGGTTGCCATATCTAATTGACGATTAGATACTGGTTATAAAGTGAGGAAATATCAGGATTTTTAAGTTATCCAACCTGTACCAATCCAGTCTTACACGGCATAAGCTACTGCTAAACACCTCCACAAAACGTATATATATTTGAGGGAGTTGTGGAGATTTGGATATATTTCAAGTTGTTATTCATCGCAGACTGACATCAGTTGGAGGAACAAAGGAAACCTGAGAGCACTGGATAGCTGTTTCGTCCTAGTATGGGACTCCTCAGCGGTGCGCACCCGCGACCTTCAGGTTCCGCGGCCAGCGCGTTACCATTGAGCCACTGAGTCAGGACCCAATGGTCCATATATCATGAGCTAACAGAAGTTGGAAATATGGACCATTGGGTTCTGACCCAGTGGCTCAATAATAACGCGCTGGCCGCGAAACCTAGAGGTCACGGGTTCGGTCCCTGGCAGGGTCGTGGTGAGCACTGCTGAGGAGTCCCATACTAGGACGAAACAGCTGTCCAGTGCTCCCAGGTTTCCCTTGTTCCTTCAACTGATTTCAGTGTACGATTAATAACAACTTAATATATATATGTGTCAAGAAGAGATTTGTGCAGTCTCTATCATTACCTTGCTCATCAGGGTAAAACAACGTCTACCTTCAATTTATGTTATTATTTTATCCCATAATGAACTCAAATTTGTTTAAATAGGACCGTCTTCTCTTGTTCAGTTCGTATTATTTATTTCCATGTTTTCATGCCTCCTTATTCATACATAATTCTTCACTGGTAACAAGTGACCATCTGCTTTAACTAATCACTTTACTTGTCAATTGTTATGTAATATTATCATTTCCATTTCTTTATTTAATCGCTTTATGAATAACTTTAAATTTGAAAATGTTTGAGTTAATTAACCCGCCAACACTAAAAGGTATATCGTTATTAATTGTAAAACTTTTAGATTAATGCATTACCCATTACAATGATTTACCCGAAAATATTCCTTCATTTTATCCGTCTTTTATTTTAAGTTTACATTCAGATAGATCGACGAAATCATCGTACAACCTCATACACAAGTGCATCACCTAAGGTTGCCACACTTTACATCAGTATACAAAGAATAGGTGAATTGGAGAAGAGTGATATCAAAGTAGAAAAAAGTGGTGTAAGAGAATGAACAATTTGATGATGGTAAGTGTAAATATTTAAGCTTTAGAAGATATCAAGAAGTGAATACATCTGCGTCATTGTGACCGATTTCCAGCCATATCACTAAGAAACCTAAACCACTGATTACTTACGTCTTGGAGACACCAACCAAGCAGTGTATATCCCTTCACGACCCAGACCGACAGCCAAAAACTTCATCGACTGATGCTACCTCTTAGTCTCGCCACCCTAAAACTCACTTCCAACCTAATCAGGCTTCCCCAACCATGGCAGGTCGAGGGGGGCGGTCGCTCAGAATGCACGACATATGTTCAAATTTACATTTAAAGATGAATATTTCCGTCAGGTTGGTGATGTTGTCATCGTAATTACCTTAGGCCCCTCCTTAAGCAGACATATTTAGCGGATGACACAACATCTATACCAGAGATGTAGAAAACCCTACTACCACTAAAAACAAATAATATGAGGTAACAGGACTATAAAGATTAAATGTTGAAAGTTATGTGATCACACTGATATGATTATGAGCAATGATAATTTATACTCGGAACGTCATCCAGTAAATAATACTGTAACACTGTAAGTTATAACCTCGCCTGGTTAATTAGTTCACTAGTTGTCAGCCACTCCTAAGCCCGGGTAAACAGGGAAGGTTGGGCATACGGCTAGCAACCTTACCCTGTAAAACAAATCCAACCACTAAACAAACTTCAAAACACAAACAAAATATAAAAAATAAAAACAAAATTATTCCTCGCTGGAATCGGAGAGGCGAAAGGACGCCGGGTACTGAAACCCTTCGGGAAGCCAATTGGCCGATGTGTCTTCTCTCTCTCAATGAAAGCGAAAGTAAACGTGGGGACATGGAATGTCTGCACTATGTTTAAACCTAGCAAGGCTGCCCAGATTGCAAATGGGATGAGAAGGTATCGCATCAAAGAGCTAGGAATTTGCGAGAGCAGGTCGAATGGAAGTGGCCTCTCCAAACTGTCAACTGGAGAGTCAATGATCTACTCCGACATTGTCACCCAGACGACAACCACGAGCACACTGAGTTTTCGAGTGGCTATCATGATATCCCCAAAACCGCATCGAAGGCACTCATGCAGTGGTAACCAGTCTCCTCCAGGATCATAACAGAAAGGTTCAACTCAAAAGGAAGAAGAGTCACGATCATACAATGCTATGCACCTACAAATAATGCAGATGAAGAGAAGAAGGAGGAACTCTACAGACAACTGCAATCACCACTGGACAAGACCTCAGTTGCCTACATCGAAATTTTAATGGATGGAGCGACATAAATGCCAAACTTGGAGCGGAAAACACAGTAAGAGAACTAACCATGGGTCGAGAAACACTCGGTCAAATGAAGGAGAATATAGAATCGTTTGCGGAATTCTGTGCATCCAACGATTTGGTGATTCGAGAGAGGCAGTGTGTTCAAGCAAAATAATATCCACAAAGCTACATGGATTTCACCAGACACCAGGACACACTAAAAAACCAGATCTTCCTTCTCTCAGTCTCAAGAAAGTAGAGACGCAGCCCACTTGATACAAGGTCAAGAAGAGGCGCAGATATAGGCTCACATCACTCACTGTCTAGTGCAAGCAACCTTCCAAATCAACTTAAAACCATTCAAGGAAGCTGGTGATAGACCGCAGTTCAAGTACAGCACTCGGAAACTGAAGGATGAAACTACAAAGGAAATCTTCACGGCAGCCATCAAGACAAAATCGGAGATATTGAGCAACATCCCTGAAAAACATGCGATGAAGAACACTGGAACTCTTTGAAAAATATGTGGAAAGAAACCTGTATAACCGTTTTAGGAAGGAAGAAGAAACAGAACAAGAAATGGATCTCGACGGTTACACAGAAGCTGATAGAGGACAGGAGGATGGTGAAGCAGAAGATGAACCAATGCAAGGATGAACAACGACAAGAGGAACTGAGCACAATGTATAAAACACTGGACAGAGAAGTGAAGAAGAGTGCATGCAAAGACAAAAGACACTTCCACGAAACACTGACAAGTGAAGCAGAACAGGCTGCAGGTAGGAGAGACCTGACAACACTATATTAAATAATCAGGTTAGTATATTGGAGGGAAGAGATCAACACAGATGAAACCAATGAAGCATAGTGAGAGAAAAGTAGTTAACACCAAAAAGAAGAAACAAAGGAAATAAAACAATGAACTGACCACGTCAAAAAATCTTGAATGGACCACCACCACCACCTGCAACTTGTTCAGAAATACTACCAGCAACCGCAGAACTACCAGTGAACACAAGCCCTCCGACAGAAGCCGAAGTCCTGAACGCCATAAAGTTGCTGAAATCTGGGAAAGCACCAAGACCAGATGGAATTCCGCCAGAAGCACCGAAAACAGACACAGAGACAAGAGCGGATATGTTCACAACACTACTGCGGAAGGTTTGCAAGGGAGAAAGGAAGGAAAGGTACCTGCTGGTTGATTGGAAGAAGGGCTATCTTGTCAAACTCTCTAAGAAGGGAGACCTAAGTGTTTGCAAGAACTGGCGCGCAATCACGTTCCTGTCCACCCAGAGCAAGCAAAATATTATGCTGCATCATCCTGGAAAGACTAAATAATGTGCTGGATTCAAAATTACCACCGGAACAGACAGGCTGGCTGGATTCAGGAAGAACAAATCGTATGCGGATCGAATTGCAACGATACGCTACACATCATCATAGGACAGAGTATAGAATGTCAGTCAACTCTCTACCTCAACTTCATCGATTTTGAAAAGGCCTTCGACAGCATTGACCGAGAAGTAATTTGGCAGGCAACTGCTTCAACACTACGGAATACCACAAACCTTTATCAATCTCATTCAACAACAGCTATATGAAGACTCCACATGCCAAGTAACTCACAATTCAGTGATGCTTTTGAAGTGAAGATAGGTTAACAAGTAAGACAAGGCTGTCTACTATCACCCATGATATTCCTGATTGTGGTTGACTCGATCATTCAGCAAACCATGAGAAGTAAGAAGAGGGGGATACGCTGGCTGGACCGGGTAAAAGAACCTAGAAGATTTGGATTTAGCCGACGATGATGATTTATTTCTAATGTCGCACAAACTCGAAGATGTATATTCAAAAACCAACAAGTTGACAGAAGAAGCAGGACAGCGAAGACGGAGCTTCAAGTGAATGTAGAGAAGACAGAGGTGATGAAGATACCCAACCAACAGCAACAACAAACAGCAGTCACCATCAACGGGAGAAACCAAAGGAAAGTAGCCTCTTTCACCTATCTGGGCAGTATATTGCCTACTCACATCACATTTAATCTATTGGAGGATAGTGATTATCTTTTATACGTTTAACATTAATGAGGTACTTATCACTTTCAGAAGTGTGATTGTCACTGGTTGCGATTCCATAGAAATAACAGAATAATTCTTGCTAGTAGGATTGTGTTTGGTCAACAAGAACTGTCTTTATACTGTAAAGGTAAGAGTAATTTTATAATAATTTGTGTCAATGAACACACTTTTACATTGTTCATCTGAACATAGCGGTTAACTGTCCCGTGAAATGTCTCGATCCCTAATTAGACGCCATCTGATTTTGATTTTTGACGATGAAATATAAAACAAAATTCTAGCAGTGTGTTTGAGCACAATCTGGGAATAGTTAGGACAATAAGAAAAGTCACTCAAAGGAATCGATTTTGCATATTGGATTGGTTTACTTGATCTATAACCTACAATTTTTTTAATTATTATTTGTCTCTTGGGTTCCTAGTGGAACATATGGCTTCACTAGCACATCTCTATTCCACTCTCTTCTCTGCAAATCTTTTGAACCTGGTTCCACGACAGCCCACAAACTTTCATTTCTTCCTCATACAATCTCCTCCATGTCACCCTCACCTCGGATGCCCAACTCGTCGTTTACCATCTAAGTTCCACTCCACGGCCTGACAGGGTGCGTGATGTACCTAGTCCGCCTTCTCACTGTGTGCCCAATCCATCTCCACTTCCTTCCTCTGCATATTTGTTGAGTGATAGGTTCTTGGTTGGTTCGTTACCAGAGTTCCTTGTTGCTTATCACTTCTGGCAATCCATCTCATTCTCTGTAAGGAGCCAGCATAGGCAGTTGTTGATGAATGTCTGTAGTCTGTTGGAAATCCGTTTCGTAACGCACCAAGTCTGTGAACCATCATATGGAAGCACTGACTTGACTGACGTTGGTGTTGAAAATCGGGATGCTGTTCACGCTTTATGCTGAGTGCAGTGCAGGAGATCTCCACACTGGTTTCAGGTTAGTGAACTCCTGTCTTGTTGTCTTTCCGATCCTGGCTGGCTTTGACATCCTCATCTGTGTCTGTGCTGCCACCTGTAGTTGAAACAGTGCTGCCCAGATAGGTGAAAGAGGCTACTTTCCTTTGGTTTCTCCCGTTGATGGTGACTGCTGTTTGTTGTTGCTGTTGGTTGGGTATCTTCATCACCTCTGTCTTCTCTACATTCACTTGAAGCTCCGTCTTCGCTGTCCTGCTTCTTCTGTCAACTTGTTGGTTTTTGAATATACATCTTCGAGTTTGTGCGACATTAGAAATAAATCATCATCGTCGGCTAAATCCAAATCTTCTAGGCTCTTTTACCCGGTCCAGCCAGCGTATCCCCCTCTTCTCACTTCTCATGGTTTGCTGAATGATCGAGTCAACCACAATCAGGAATATCATGGGTGATAGTAGACAGCCTTGTCTTACTTGTTAACCTATCTTCACTTCAAAAGCATCACTGAATTGTGAGTTACTTGGCATGTGGAGTCTTCATATAGCTGTTGTTGAATGAGATTGATAAAGGTTTGTGGTATTCCGTAGTGTTGAAGCAGTTGCCTGCCAAATTACTTCTCGGTCGATGCTGTCGAAGGCCTTTTCAAAATCGATGAAGTTGAGGTAGAGAGTTGACTGACATTCTATACTCTGTCCTATGATGATGTGTAGCGTATCGTTGCAATTCGATCCGCATACGATTTGTTCTTCCTGAATCCAGCACATTATTTAGTCTTTCCAGGATGATGCAGCATAATATTTTGCTTGCTGTAGGACTAGGTGACATACATGTGGTTGATTACCGGAAAGTAACTAATTCCATGTTGTCTGTTCCTATGTTCTTTCAATTAGCTAACATCCACCAAAGTGTATCGCGATCCCAAGCCTCGTAACCTAGTGAGCACATTACAAAAGTGATCGATAGGATTCGGTCAACACTCAGGACTAAACAACATGAAATTGGTTGTTCTCCAGTAACCAATGAATGTATACTGTAACTCTGCTCTGAATTTGTCATGAAACTATAACACATTGCAGTTTAAATACATTTATTTGAGAAAACAAATAATGAAACAGTATTAGCTCCTGGATAACGTTCCGAGTATAATATATTCCTCATAATCATAGCATAGCTTTCTCCCTACCTAATACCACCACTTAATCGGTTGGCAACTGGGACGGATAAACAATAATTCCAGGTCATGTGCTATGCATATTTATCCGTTATTTACACAGATTTCATTTCATAAAATGAGAAACATTATCCATGCAACATACAACAGTCTTACCAATAGTGTACAGGCGTCAACTCCAATATCATATCCATCAATTACGTCCGATGATACTTTGAAGATATTTAATTTATGCATATTTCCTACACGTAGAGGTATAGTAGGCCATGGAACGAAGACTGCAAAAAATGAAAAATAACAGGCTTGAAGAAATCTCTAGATACAATAATGACCCGAGGAAAGGGAAGTATGCGATCCAGACAAGTATATTTGATAGCATTTTTGAGCACAACTCTGTTTTCCTAGGGATTATAACCATCCATTTAGGTTTTTGAGCATAACTTTACCTTATCATTCAGCAATTCGGCAGAACATACCTCTGAATCAAATCAGGTTGGCATGACAAATAGTCCAACAAATCCATGCTTAAGAAAGAACAAAGATCAAATGAGTAGAAAACTAATCACTAGCCAGAGATAAGGGTGATCTAAACAATGTGCAGCCATTTCGCTTATCTGGGAAACGAGCGCAGACGATAACGTCCTAGTGGGTGAGGATACTTACAAGATACAGTCTTCTGGAAAAGTTGAATCGCAGCTTTAAAATGTTTGGGTTCCATTTCTCACCTTCATATTATAGTCTGACAATGGGAAGTGGAATAGCTGAACACGTTGACCATCTCCCCAACCTAGAGGGTTGAGGCAGTTTTCATGGACCTGCTACGAATGAAATCTCAGCATGGATAGGAAAGGCCTCATTGGCTTTCACCAATTTACGACAGTGATGGAGACAACTAGGTATCCAATTGCCTATTGAAGGTCCGGTATACTGCACAACAATTCGCTTTGTCTTATTGTCTAGTTGCGAAAGATATCCAAAATGTTACACTGGATGATGACTGAAGGTGAGGTAGAAATTTGGACCGCGGCCGGATTCAAACCAGCGACTACAGGGTCTCCGGCCCGACGCTCTAACAACTGAGCTACAATATCCGAACACAGATCAGGTTTTTATTTCACTTCAATCACCAAGGGTTTTTACTCGACTATCATGTGAAGTAGTGACGCATTACTACCGCTTGATTGTATTCACACTGGCTGTCAAGTCAGGATTTCTCATCCCAATCCAGATTTAACTAAATCAGAGAGGGGGAGCATCATATTGATTGTCATTTGACTATCTGAGATAGCCGTGGTTTGGCAGACTAGTATTTATACTGCCAAACTACGGCTATCTCAGATGGTCAAATGATAATCCCAAGTGTTATTTAAGTAGTGTCAGTCATGCGTCGTAGAAACACAAAATGATAAAAATATAGCCTGTGTACAATCTCAGGTTAAAGACGAAAGTTAGTTGGTTGGTAACCTTGTAAACCTTCATCCACTAAGACAGTTATAGCGTATATGATGCATGCCTAGTCCCCGCTTACCCCGATGGGTGATTTAAGCTCAAGTAAGAATAGGTTGCAAAAAGATTAAAGGTAGCTAAACTAAGGTGTAGCACCAGTCAGTGGAGTATCCGATAACTGGTTTGAGTCGTGTAAGGAAATCCATACTTTTAGGTTGGTATGTCCACGTAACAGTCCATATCGCCGGTCGGAAGCTCTAGGAGATACAGATTCGTTTGGTCACCTCATATTTTGATGCTAATTGAGGTGTGGCTACTTGAGTAGTTCCACAGTTAATGTCATGTCTCACGTTCTGATTGACTAACTGACAAGAATCTGAACTTGATTACTCAAAAATAATCTATGAGTTAAACACACTCCTAAATTATTGCTCAGAAGTCTTAACCATTAATTGAATATGTGGTGGCAAAATGATTAGTCTCTTAAATGTTTCAGCAATATAGTTCAACTCTATAATATGCTACAAATATGCAAAGTTGAAATGCAAATGTCCCAAGAGGGATAATCACCTTGTTAGGTCACTGTAATAATGAACTGAACAATTTTATCCGTCTAACCATGATTAATCTTCAGCTCCTTAGTCATCAGAACTTCTATAAGGTTAACAATAAACTTACACATACAAATTGATACGTCAGTGTGTCCACTGAACGGATATACTCAGTCCTAACTGAGTTCCACCAACCAAACTAACTGATTTAATATCACGACATACACTCTATCTACTATAGGAAGTAAACGTCAGGAATCCCCGGACATTAGTTTACTATCTATAGGTTCTCAGCAGTAAGCTGTCCGAAAGACTGAACTGTAACATCACTAAATGAAACTTACAATACTGTCAGTTTGAAGCCAAAATGAGTTAACAAGAATACAATGTCAACAATTGTCAATAGACTAAAACTTGGAGGTTCAAGCCCACTTCTAGTTAGCTTCAGCCATCTCAATATCACACAGTCCATTCAGGTGTCTATGCAGTAGGCCAGGACCATACTCATTACCTAAAACCCAATAGCATTAGCAACATTTCAGAACTGTAGTAGATGGAGCAAGGTGTGAAACCATAAACTCATTCTATCACCTACACTTTTGATCTTTAAAAAACTTAAGAAACAACTCTTTCATTAGCAACATATGTTGAATAATTTACAGAGAGATAAATAAAACTCAAATTTGAAGGATATAAGCTTTAAAATATTGAAATTCAAAAGACCACATTTGAAATCAAGACATTCCTGCAACAGATGATAAGCCAAACTTTTCGTGTGACGGCTAATGATACTATCTAGCTGTCCAGACCTCGATAGGTGGGGCAGGACTCGAACCCACGACCCACTAGTTGAAAGTCGTCTCCCTAAACCAAAGACCTACAGGTTTATGATGTTGATATTGAATAATTGAAAATTCCATCAGTTTTATTTCCACATTAAGTTCTATCGTGTCGAGCTTAGGTCATAATTGTCTATCAAAACTATTACAAGCAACAATTCTTGAAGTTGCATCTCATTCATATAAAATTAGCTAATTACGCCGATTGTGGAGATATGGTTTGTTGGTCTGGGCACGTGATTTCCAACCGATAGGTGACAGGCTAGAAACTTGCCCTAGCTATGAAGATCTGTGCAGTCAAGTAGTATCATTAGCCTTCACACAACGGATGTGAACGGAGGGTTGTTGAGTGGATTTCACCTTTTGGTTCGCGGTTGATTTAACACAGGCATAGTCAACTTCAGATAAGGCTTTCATGAGTGTAATAATAGCATTGCTAAAGACTAAAATAAGTGGCAAGTATACTATACTATTATTCATCTACCACATGAACATTCATATTCATTGTAATGTAGTTTATTTGGAATCCAGGGTACGCGTTCCGTCCTATTTAGGACTCGTCAACTAAATGTAGCCGCACTTTAGTGAGTGACGTTTTTCCTACTGTTACTCAAACCCAGTAGATAATGCTTTGGCATCTGAAGAGATGAGTGCTGGGTTCAAGTCTCAGTGAGAACAACATCACTTGCTGGGGTGCAGACATATTTATTTGACGAGTCCCAAAACGGACGAAACGCACATCCTAGATCCCACTGCTAGCCACCATATATACTACAAAATGTGATAAAAGCTTAAGTAAATATTATGTTTACTTTTAACCTCCTTTCAAGTCTAATTATTTTTGTGATATAATGTTCAACAGTAGTATAGTTCTATATACCTTAACAAACGCATAATTTTATGGTATAAAAATCTTAAATTGCTACATACCAGACATTTTAAATATTTCTGACTGATATTTTCCTGATGAAAAGGATAAGCGTGAACGTTGATGATCATAGACAGTAACACTATTTGAACACAATCGCTGACTTTGTATTGATGCTTTTGACGACAGTGATGAAGATGATGACGAGGAACAGAAAGAGGATGCTGTCAACAAAGATGGATGACTACGAGTAGCTTGTAACATGTCATTGATGGGATGTTTGATACTAGTAGTAGTAATCTTCTGTTGAATAACTGATCGTATCAATGCACTTCGATTAGCATTTGCAAAATCAGTATACGTAACATTTGGTGCTAGTGCTACTAGATGGGCTGAAAGTAATAAAAATACCAATCATCTGAAGATTAATAATTTATTATTCGGCTATATAAGTGTAATGAACTGATTATAAAAATTATCAACTAGATTTCGTTTTGAGAAGAAAGGTGACAGTTGTAGTAGAGAGAACAGTATGTATTACGACAGTATAGAGAAAGAAAAATTCATCTCAACATTTCATTCCTTATACACTTTTTCAGACTAAGAGTAGGTGATACATTAGGTCAGTGATACTTTACGACTTACCTCACAATGCTTATAACTATGCATCACTACTCAAGTTGTTCAGTGGTGAAATCAGTGACTGTGGTACTCAGAGCTGAAGGATTGAATTCCAGGGACAGGATAGGTTTATGTAGCCTTGGTCTATTGCTTTCTGTTGGTTACATCCAAATATGTATAAATACTCCTCAGTTTGTTATGATGTGATGTGATAACAATGGATGTAAAACAATGTTATCCTTTAAAATGCTTAAATATTAATATACTATTATTATTTGTCTCTTGGGTTCCTAGTGGAACATATGGCTTCACTAGCACATCTCTATTCCACTCTCTTCTCTGCAAATCTTTTGAACCTGGTTCCACGACAGCCCACAAACTTTCATTTCTTCCTCATACAATCTCCTCCATGTCACCCTCACCTCGGATGCCCAACTCGTCGTTTACCATCTAAGTTCCACTCCACGGCCTGACAGGGTGCGTGATGTACCTAGTCCGCCTTCTCACTGTGTGCCCAATCCATCTCCACTTCCTTCCTCTGCATATTTGTTGAGTGATAGGTTCTTGGTTGGTTCGTTACCAGAGTTCCTTGTTGCTTATCACTTCTGGCAATCCATCTCATTTTCTGTAAGGAGCCAGCATAGGCAGTTGTTGATGAATGTCTGTAGTCTGTTGGAAATCCGTTTCGTAACGCACCAAGTCTGTGAACCATCATATGGAAGCACTGACTTGACTGACGTTGGTGTTGAAAATCGGGATGTTGTTCACGCTTTATGCTGAGTGCAGTGCAGAGATCTCCACACTGGTTTCAGGTTAGTGAACTCCTGTCTTGTTGTCTTTCCGATCCTGGCTGGCTTTGACATCCTCATCTGTGTCTGTGCTGCCACCTGTAGTTGAAACAGTGCTGCCCAGATAGGTGAAAGAGGCTACTTTCCTTTGGTTTCTCCGTTGATGGTGACTGCTGTTTGTTGTTGCTGTTGGTTGGGTATCTTCATCACCTCTGTCTTCTCTACATTCACTTGAAGCTCCGTCTTCGCTGTCCTGCCTCTTCTGTCAACTTGTCAGTTTTTGCTTGTAGATCTCAAAATGCTTAAATATAATCGATACCAATGAACGACGTCTATCGAAAAAGTTCTGTTCATTGCCTTCTTGTGATGGAATGCTCAGAAGTGAAGCAATAAATCAATTCGTATATGACAACTGTCTGCTGACCTCTTAGCTTTAAACCGGGGTGAGGGGGGGTTCTTGGGCGTTTCGTCATCATTCACTTCAAAAAGAAGTGAAGAATTTTCAAGCTGTATAAATGTCTACGAAGGATATTCGCCAAAGTTAAGCGTTATTAGTTCACAGGTGGGGGTGATTTCTCTTCTATTTTATCAGAGGTTAACTTTTAGAACTGCTGTTATCAGAAGAAAATCACCATTACAAAGTGTTCAGGGCCAATGTTCATGCAAACAACTTAATCGAGAAATGGCTATCAACAAAACATGTATCATGACAATGATCTTAGCCTAGAAAAAGATATCTCAGAAACTGTCAATCGATTGCTTCACCACTCCCGTATCAACCTGGAGCATATAAACCAACCAATCCCTCGTTGCAGAGTATCCTATGTAAGTTGAAGGATCTGTTACGTGGAACAGACAATACGAATATAACCTACAAAATTAGTAGCAAAAACTATCAACATCGCTATATTGGCCAATTCAGTTCTCGAACAGGTCAAAGAATTCATGAACACCAGTTTGCAGTCAAACATGATATATCCTCATTGATATCGATATATATAGATGAAAACGACCACAACTTTGGTGGGGACAAGGTAGAAATATGACATCCAAAAACTCCAGGCGAGTTCCTGGAAGCATGCTACTCAAGTCAAATGATAGTCAACAGGTAGGTTGACATTGAGTCAATATACGAACTACTCTAAGCAGAGATCGGCCAAATAGAAATCAATCAAGTGGATCAACAATCAGTCATTATTAGGTCAACAGTATAAGTCAGACGATAAGAACAATCATAAATGTCAACCTCTCATCATAAAGAAGAACAAGTCGCCCTACCCAAGGTCGGTAGATATCCTTCATTAACATATATGTAAATTAAAGGTGCTTCACTTCTATACAAAGTAAATACTGATTAAGTTACCTTGTCTAGTGATAAAACGTCCAAGAACAAATCTCAAAGATCAGGTAACACCAAACAATTATCATCTTAGTCTTGAACTACAAATCTCCACTATCTCGAATTGATATACTTCAAGAAATATCAACGAAATACAAATTGACAATCTTTGGAATCAAAAGTTCACGAAAAGTGTGATCCTAAGCAACAATTACTTCCTTCGATACGAATGTGAAAAGAAAAGGAATGGAAGGAATTCACCTAACATCTACACTTACATAACATTTACGCAACTATTTCCTCATACTATGACCAGTAGTACGACCCAGCACTCCACGAACGATACAAGTCTAACAGACTACGAACGATAAAAACCTAATGCCTAAACCAATTGACTCTAACGCAAATCAGAACGTCAACCACCACCACAACAGTACCACCGACGCGCAAAAGTCAGAAGAGAAAAGAGACCGTAGACAGAGAGTCTTTTACTGTCTCAACAACGGTCAATACAGCTGACAGCGATGCTGAATGTATACATTTCTAAATGACCTTGAAAAACACCAAATCCACAAACAGGTAAAAATAGTTAACAACCAATAAGGGTTTAGTCTTGAGAGGAGAGGGAAGAAAAACTAGCAACAGTGTGAAAGCAGTTATCTAAGTTATTTGAAGGTTATAAGTAAAACAGCAGGCAAAAGCTATGCAAAATCAAGAGGGTATAGTATCTCACGCCTCAGATCTGCTAATCTTATGTCTCAAAAGTAAGCAAGTAAGTAAGTAGATAAACAACTTACCACGTAACGGTCTAGTTGACAAAACAATCACTTCAGAATTATTCAATTCATAACCTTGAGGCAATCGTCTAACAATCCAAACTTCTAATCCAATGCCACCAAAAGCACGTGAACGTGCTGCATAATTATGGCAAGGTTTTAACCAAAGTGGACTAATAGTACAGATTTCTCCAAGTTGTTGAGAATAAGTAAGCACATTCAGTGATTTTATAAGTGGTAATTTCGTATTCAGTGTGGTAAGTAATGCTTTTCTAGTGCACAAAGAAGGTTGTAAAAGGGCAAATAATGATTGTTTATGATTAGTTGACCGACTCCAGAACACGAGTATATCTGAAGAAAGAGCGTGTAATCCTGAGGCTACAATGAAAGTAAGCAAATTTATAACAAGAAAATGTGTATACCAAATAAGAGTAGGAAGAAAGGATAGGTTTATATAGAATTTTATTACCTAGGTATAATAACAAAATCTCAGTAATTTCATACCAATTTCTTTTATTTGATATAAACACAAAGCATTACATGAATATGCAGCCGTATTGAGGCATCCGCATAGGACACACCATCTGCTAACAATAGAGGTCGAGCAATTCAGCCCTGTACAGCAAAGGGAACTTACAAGTGTCATAACAACAACTGATACCTATTTCTTCACAAAAGGTGGCTGTTGTGCTCCAGTGGCCTGGTGGATAATGCTTTGGCGTGTGAAGCAAAGGGAACTTACAAGTGTCATAACAACAACTGATACCTATTTCTTCACAAAAGGTGGCTGTTGTGCTCCAGTGGCCTGGTGGATAATGCTTTGGCGTGTGAAGCAATGGTCACTAAGTTCGAGTTTCAGTGAGAACAGCATCACTCAGTGAGGTGCAAGTACCTCCGGCTGACGACTCCCAGACCGAACGAAACATGTGTCCTAGATTTCTCTGCTAGTCAGCAACATGAATATAATACCACTACAGTAATATTTACTGGCTGATCATACTGTAATGCTTATAATAGTGGTTGGGTGTTCTCTGAGCTTTGATATTCTAGCATGAATGTTTCATCACCAGCTTGGTAATATCTTCAGTACTAACTTCATAAAGAGGAACCTCGCCTGGTTAACTAGTTTACTAGTTACTAGCCGGTCCTAAGCCCGGGTAAAGAGGGAAGGTTGGGCATAGGGCTAGCAACCCTACCCCGTAAAACAAATCTAACCGCTAAAGAAACTTCAAAGCACAAACAAAATATAAAAAATGAAAACAAACTTATTCCCCGCTGGAATCGGAGAGGCGAAATGACGCCAGTTGGTGAAAGCCTTCGGGAAGCCAATTGGCCGATGTGTCTTCTCTCGATGAAAGCGAAAGTAAACGTGGGGACATGGAATGTCCGTACGATGTTTGAACCCAGTAAGGCAGCCCAGATTGCAAAGGAGATGAGAAGGTATAACATCGAAGTGCTTGGAATTTGCGAAAGCAGATGGAATGGGAGTGGACTCTCCAAACTGTCAACTGGAGAATCAATAATCTACTCCGGTCACCCAGACGCCAACCACGAGCACACTGAGGGAGTGGCTATCATGATGTCCTCAAGAGCATCGAAGGCTCTCATGCAGTGGGAACCAATCTCCTCCAGGATCATGACAGCAAGATTCAACTCAAAAGGAAGAAAGGTCACAATCATACAATGTTATGCACCTACAAATAATGCAGAGCAAGAGAAAAAGGAGGAATTCTACAGACAACTTCAATCAACACTGGACAAGACGTCAGTTGGCGATATCAAAATTCTAATGGGCGACATGAATGCCAAACTGGGAGGTGACAACACAGGAAGAGAACTAACCATGGGTCGAGAGGCGCTAGGTGAAATGAATGAGAATGGAGAATTGTTTGCAGAATTCTGTGCATTCAACGATTTGGTGATTGGAGGCAGTGTGTTCAGGCACAAGGATATCCACAAAGCGACATGGACTTCACCAGATGGACACACTAAAAATCAAATCGACTTTATCTCAATCTCAAGAAAATGGAGACGCAGTCTACTTAACACAAGGTCAAGAAGAGGAGCAGATGTAGGTTCAGACCACTATCTAGTGCAAGGAACCTTCCAAATCAAGTTAAAAGCCTTCAAGGAAGCTGGTGATAGACCTCAATTCAAGTACAACACTAGGAAACTGAAGGATGAAACTACAAAGGAGATCTTCAAGGCAGCCATCAAGACAAAATGGGAGACATCGAGGGACATCCCTGAAGAAACCTGTGTGGAAGAACATTGGAAGTCTTTGAAAGCTATGTGGAAAGAAACCTGCACAACAGTATTAGGAAGGAAGAAGAAAGAAGACAAGGAATGGATCTCGACGGATACCTGGAAGCTGATAGAGGAGAGGAGGATGGTGAAGCAGAAGATAAACCAGTGCAAGGATGCTCAACGACAAGAGGAACTGAGCACAATGTATAAAACACTGGACAAAGAAGTGAAGAAGAGTGCACGCAAAGACAAAAGACACTTCTACGAAACACTGGCAAGTGAAGCAGAACAGGCTGCAGGTAAGAGAGACCTGACGACATTGTATCAAATAACCAGGTTGCTATCAGGGAAGAGACCAACACAGATGAAACCAATAAAAGATGAAGAAGGAAATTTAATTACAAAAGAAGAGAAACAGAGGAAACGATGGGCCGACCACTTCAAGAAGCTCTTGAATCGACCACCACCTGCACTTCGTCCAGAAATACCACCTGCAGCCGCTGAATTACAAGTGAACATAAATCCCCCAACGAAAATGGAAGTCCTGAACGCCATAAAGCTACTGAAATGCGGGAAAGCAGCAGGACCAGATGGGATACCGCCAGAAGCACTGAGAACAGATGCAGAGACAACAGCGGACATGCTCACACCACTATTGCAGAAGGTGTGGAAGGAAGAGAAGGTACCGGACGATTGGAAGAAGGGTTACCTTGTCAAACTGCCGAAGAAGGGAGACCTCAGTGCTTGCAAGAACTGGCGCGGAATCACTCTCCTGTCCACCCCAAGTAAAATATTAAGCCGCATCATCCTGGAGAGGCTTAAAGACGCACTGGATTCAAAACTGCGACCGGAACAGGCAGGCTTCAGGAAGTACAAATCATGTGCTGACCAAATTGCAACACTTCGTATCATCATAGAACAGAGCGTAGAATGGCAATCAGCTCTCTACCTCAACTTCATCGACTTTGAGAAGGCCTTTGACAGCGTCGACCGAGAAGTAATTTGGAAACTGCTTCAATACTACGGAGTACCGCAAACCTTTATCCGCCTCATTCAACAACTATATGAAGATGCCACATGCCAAGTAATCCACAATGGGAAGCTCAGTGATGCCTTTGAAGTGAAGACAGGAGTGAAACAAGGTTGCCTACTATCCCCCATGATATTCCTTATTGTGGTGGACTGGATCATGCAGCAAACAGTAGGCAGCGAGAAGAGGGGGATACACTGGACGACGGAAAAGAACCTAGAAGACTTGGATTTCGCCGATGACTTATGCCTAATGTCACATAAACTTGAAGATCTGCAGGCAAAAACTAACAAGTTGACAGAAGAGGCAGCCAAGACGGGACTTCAGGTGAATATAGAGAAGACAGAAGTGATGAAGATACCGCACCACCACCATCAACAACAACAACAACAAACTCCAATCACCGTCAACGGGAGAAACTTGAAGGAAGTAACCTCCTTCACTTATCTAGGAAGCATTGTTTCAACTACAGGCGGGACGGACGAGGACGTCAAAGTCAGAATCGGGAAAGCAAGACAGGCGTTCATTAGCCTGAAACCAGTGTGGAGATCTTCTGCACTCAGCATCCAGAACAAGATACGGATTTTCAACACCAACGTCAAGTCAGTGCTCTTGTATGGCTCAGAGACTTGGCGCGTCACGAAAGGGATTTCCAATAAACTACAGACATTCATCAACAACTGCTTACGCTCGCTGCTGAAGATCAGATGGCCAGAAAAAATAAGCAACAAGGAACTCTGGGAACGAACCAACCAAGAAGCTATCACGCAACAAATATGCAGGAGGAAGTGGAGATGGATTGGCCATGCACTGAGAAGGCCGACTGAGGACATCACGCGTCAGGCCCTCGAGTGGAATCCCCATGGGAAGCGACGAGTTGGACGTCCGAGGGTGACATGGAGGAGGTCATGCGAGGAGGAAATGAGAGCTTCTGGGCTGTCGTGGAACCAGGTTCAAAAGATCTCAGAGAACAGAGGTCACTGGAGGCGTGCTACTGAAGCCCTATGTTCCACTAGGAACCCAAGGGACTAATAATAATAATAATAATAACTTCATAAAGAAGTGATGTATATTTGGTTTTTACATTAAAGTTTAGATAGCGTTTTCATTGGCCTTGGGTGCTGTCCAAGTTTAAGTTGAGGAAGAATGTTTTACCACACCTTCACCTCTTTGACTTTATATTTCTTTCAGTCACACTAGTAGATAATCTTAGCTGGAGTGAGCTGTTTAGCTGTTTGTTACTGTCACAATGTGCCTTATTATTGATTTGTTTGGTTAATTTGCCGTTTTCCTTTTTATTCAAGTAGATTATAGGTTGAATGTTATGTTACTAGATATTCTCTTGCAACTTTAAAACCTGGTCTTCAGAGGATTTCCACATTCATCCAGTCGAATTTGTGATCGTAACTGTCAGCATACATCGGAACCAAAGAGGCCACGTCATGTCACTTTACCGCTAGTTAGTGTTCATGAATTCTTTGAACGATTCGACGACTAGACTGACCAACATAGTGTTGTGAATAGTTTTTTCAGCTGATTTTGTAGATTATAATTGTTCTGTCTTCATTTGGTAACGGATCCTTTGATTTGCATAAGATGCTGTGTAGTGATTTCATTGATTTGTGTGCTACTTTAATCCCAAACAGATGAGGTAATCTGTTGACAGTTTCTGAGACATCTTTGATGTAGGTTAGCGTAACACACCTATTGGTTTGAGATAATTGTCATGTCTTCTCTCTCTCTGATAAACACACTTTCTGATAAAGTTGAGTGGTTTTGAACACTTCGTATAGGTAGTGCTTCAGAGTTAGAATGCATTTTGGCTCTTAAGGAAAGTATCTGTACACAAAATTTCTTATGGGCTGTAGGATGATTCCTATCGTATTTTAAAATTTGATCGGTGTGTGAGATTTTCTTGTACACTTGAGTTTGTAAAGTCCCGTTGTATGTTCTGTTGATGAGGACATGTAAGAACGGAATTTGGTTGTTAACTTCCTCTTTTTTCGTGAAGTGAATTCCTTTAAATATTAGTTAAATTAGTTTGAACGTGTTTTCTGTTTCATCTTCCTTGAGAATTAAGAATGTGACGTCAACGTACCAA